TTTTCGCCTGGCAGGATACAATTACAAAGCGGGGTTGTTGATCTATAATTTTTGTGTTCCGTGTTTTGTGATTTTTATTGCGGTTTTATGTAATTAAGTGGAATATTTTTTATAATGTTTTGTACAAAATTGCAATATATTTTTTTTAATTCCCTAAGCATTGATTTGAATTTACGCATTCATCGCCGATATTGATATAGATTAATGCTCATTTCTGCATGAAAAATTAAATTTGAAGTGCATTTGAGTAAATCGCACAATACCTATAAGTCCTTGAAGAATATTGAAATGTTGAAATGTCGCTGAAAATTGGCCATTAATTTTATATTCGAATATTCATATGAGCACAGGTGGTTCCAGGGTATCGTTTGGTTTAACGCTCTGATGAATATTGAATTTGAAATAAATTTATTTTCCATAAAATATACATATGAATATAAATATGGACCTTTGCTTATATGTAAATTTTGAAAAAAAATAACTGAAACATTGCATAATCATTAAAAGTCCCTTATTTTTTTCTGCTTAAAATATAATGAATTCATATGGATTTCAATTTTAGTAACTCAATAAAATTATTATTTGAAAAAAAATTTATTATAAAAATAATTAAAAATTTTAATTGAATTTTAGTTCAAAATTATAAAATATGAATGCGAAAGTATTTCAGATACATGCACCATATATAAGTTGCAGTTAAAAATAAACGGGACTTTTAAAAAAAAAAGTGTTATCATTTATTACAATTATATTGCCGAAAAAGTCACCCACTCGCCGCATTCTCCTGATTTAGCCCAAGGGACAAACTTTTCCGAAAAATAATATTATCAACGTAGAACCCTTGCAAATATTCATTTGGAGAATTAAAGCTCCTGAAGCACCCAATCCAAAATAACAATAGCGGAAGCATTGTTAAAATACATCTTTATCTAATTCCTATCGTTGACATTAATTAATAGTTTTTCACCATGTAAGGCTCTGCATTTCGTTTCTCCATTCAAATATTTGTTCCAACATCTTAAAAGATATAATGACTGATGATCCTTAAACTCATGCGACTTGCTTTTGACCACACATATTAATAATAATACGCCTTGCTCGACATCTATGATTTCGAGCAGCCTCTTATACTGGACATAGGCTGTCTATAAGCCGCTTCCACCTTTCGCGCCATAACGCTACGTCCTTTATGTCTGTAATGTTGCTTATGTTTTTTCCTAGAGGCTGAAAAATGATGTTTATTTCATTCAACGTTGACCTTCTCCATGTTGTTTTTGGACGGCCTCTTCCTCTACTACTTTGCGGGTTGTATACCAACGACTGTTGACAAATTTCGGTGGAAGCTTTTCGAAGTGTATGCCCGATCCATCCATATTTTCTTTTACGAATTTCAAGATTGGCATCTCTAACATTTGTTCTGGTCCAAAGATCGTGATTTGATATTCTGTTTGGCCAGAAGATACGTAAAATTCTGCGGAGACAGCGGTTAACAAATACTCTCAGCTTGCTTTGTATGTTTTCTGTAACAAACCAGATTTCGCAACCATACAGGAGAACTTAAAGAACACATGTTTTAAAGATTTTTATCTTTGTGCTTAAACTATAAGTATTGGAGCTCCACACTTTACGAAGCCACACATATTACTGTTTTAAATAAAAATAAGATTGTTTTGAATAAATTTATTGTTTATGCAATAATAAAACGATTTGTTGTTCTTATTTATAAAAAGTCTTACTTAGTTTAAAAATGTTAACTTTTGTTTTAACTAAATAAAAGAGGCACTGTTAACTGGAAATAATGATAATATTCACTATAAGCTCATAAATGTCATATTATTAATAATATTTTTTTTTAAATAAAAATTTAAAAATTAAAAATAAAAATATAATTAATTAATTCAATTATTCTACAGCTGGTTTATGATTTCATTCCAATATAAACACAGCAAGTGAATTTGTTAATAAAACTTTCACAGCAAAGTAACAAAACTTCAGAAAAATGTGCGACATAAAAGTCAAGTACGGCTTTGGTTCAGTTGGTTATGGAGCGCTGACTCTGAGCTTCAAATTTAGCAGAGCACGAGTTCGATTCCTAGTACTTCCATCTTAAAAAATTATTTACAAATAATTAAATACAAGAATTATTTCCAAGACCACTGATGATGGATATTTGGCAATACTCGAAACAACTGTATGTTTAGCCAAAAATTCAATTAATTAAAATAATACAAAATAATTTTTGTTGTTGTAGTTCACTGCTGTTCGAAACTTCTATAATAAAAATAGGTTATTTTATAAAATAATATTTTTAAATCGTAACATTATCATTAACAAATTAATTAAATTCATATCAATTATAAAGAAAATATCTTTATTCCATTTTCTCAAGCATTCTATGCTCAAGCTAGTTTATATATTGTAACGACACGTTTTTATTCGTTGATAACACTGATGTATACTTAGCCATTGTCCAAGTCAGAGACAATTTGATGGATTTTATTTGTTGTTTATTTATAAGAAAATTCGAAAAAAAAAGAATTTTTATATAATTATAATATATTATTAGTGTAATAATTTGTTCAATATATTTCTGTAAAATTTTTGTTTTGATAATTTGAGCAGACGTTGTATATATGCTCTCGACAGACGACACTCCTCTTGTTAGTTCTTGTGGTAGAAGAAAACTTCGTTAGCTAGGGAATTAGTATTTTATATTGAGTTATTCAATACAAGACTACTAATCAGATGTATGTAACGTGATACAAGATTACTAATCAAGATGTATGGAACTGCCTTGACGTGATACAAGACTGCTAATCGAGATGTATGGAACTACCTTAACGTGATTATATAAGAGTACTTATCAAGATGTATGGAACTACCTTGACGTGATACAAAAATACTAATCAAGATGTATGAAACTACTTTGACGGGGTACAAGACTACTTATCAAGATGTATGTAACTACCTTGACATGATTTATATAAGACTACTACTCAAGATGTATGAAACCACTTTGACTACGATTCTATTGCCTTGTTTCACAAAGACGTATTACTACCTTTAAGAGTTTTCCAACAAGTGCCTTTGCTTGTATAATACGCATTTATTTATACTCAAACGACCGAAGCTTTTTTGTAGCGCATCTGTACATTTCCCGTTGGTATTTTTAGTACTTGCTGTCTTTTGTTGCTGTTATACTCCTGGGTGTAATTTCTTGAATTCGCCGTACTTTGTATTTTGTTCTATAAAACCTTTCATGCTTTGACGTTTCTTGTGTTGTTTACAAACGTGTTTTTTTGATAAGTGCCAGTAGTGGTTTTAATATTTATATGTATTTAATATAATAAAATAAATATTAAACGACCAATAAAATAAATATATAAATTGTGAATTTATAAGGTATGTATATTTTTCACTAACTGAAATAAATTTCTTTATTTATTGTTAATTGTAATTATAATTTCAGGTGAATTCAATATGTTATCGATGCAGATGCGATAAGTTACTCGTGAGTTTTTTAATATAAAATGTATATTAAATAAATTAATCTATTTTATTTTAGATTATATTGAAATTCCACAGTGAGTGAAATAAAATAATGTGTTGAGTGTTAAAAGTAGTTTACTGCGATGTATCGTACTAGTATCGTATTGTTGTTATTACATGTTTATATTGAATTTACAATATGTATCTGTAACAAATTAAACAAAAAACAAAATACCATCAGAAAGTATGGTCAATACCACAAAAACAGCGCAAAAAATGCGCTAAGACGACAGCTAATAGCACCAAAACCAAACTAAAATGAAAATTAAGTACCAAAAATAGACAAAATAACACTCACCATGATACTGGCTAACATCACCAAAACTATTCAAGACAAAACGAGCAAATGTTTTGTTTTAAAGTATCTGTTTTTAATATTAAACATATATAATATTAAAAAACAAGAAAAGCGTGATCCTTACCAAAATTACAATATTCTTCACAAAATAGTTACTTTATATGGACACTACATGATCAATTTTATATGGGGATTTATATGCGTTTGTATGGACTTGATTTATGTTGATTCACAAAAATCTGACAGAATTGTTTGCACAATAATGAAGAAATTAACGGACAGACCCACAGACGGATACATAGACAAGGGGATATCACTCAATCCATTTGTCGATATGGAATAATAATATATATAATGTAAATGACTCGGTTGAAATAAATAGAATAATAATATTCAGAAATCTATCTTTAATCAAACATCTATAACTATCCTTCAGTAAATATTTGTACTATTTAAGAATAATATTAAATAATAGTTTATTTAATGTTGGGAGAATTTGCACTACAACTAAGAGATCTATTGTGTCTCCTGCATTCACTTTCTCTATAAATTCCATTAGAGTAAATTTCCAGTTTAAATTAGGGTGTTAGTTTGAGTTATACCGCCCTAGTAGAGTACTTGTAATAATTCTTCAATTATTTTTACTTAGATGCTGATTATCCTAGAATAACTCTATTTGTTTCTCTTCATCTTTCTGTATGGGTGAAGAGAAATTACCTTTATTATCTAATATTCTAACGTGATTCGAAACCATTGGATTAGTATAATGAATATTTTTTTCGAAACATTCCATCACCAGTCATGGTGCAACCTGGTGAGTATTGAGTGCCTTATTGCTGGCTATGTATCAATTAGGTTTGCCCATTAATGGTTCTGATACTTACGTTCAAGGTTAAGGTGTACACACTTTTCCATCGCATAAATAACTGCTTGAAAAATAGTTGCATTTTTATCTAGTGCTTTTCAACCCAGTCCGTAAACACCTGTACATACTCCCATTTTCAGTAGGAGAACCATCCGTATACCAGAAGAAAGGAAACAGAAGTATACATGTTCTTGCATTTTTGTAAGCCCAGTTATTTACCTCGTTAAGTAAATAATTAAGTTTACATATTTCCTATTTATATGAATAAAATATTAAATATAATTCATTAAATTTTAATAATTTGTTAATATTTTAATTAAAAAAATATATAACAAAAACATCAAATTATAAAGTATATTGAAGAGTAAAGAAAAATACAAATATTATTTATAATTATTTATCAATGCCACGGAACTTGATTAGGATTACTTATTGATCCCTTTTTATAGTACTTTGCTGTTGCAGCGGCAGATGCAGATAATGTAGGTGAATTCGATGAAGGTTCATATGAAGGGGAGCTGCCCTCAGCTTTTAAGACAGCAGCACATTTCCAATTTTTCATATAATTCACTAGAATAAAAAATTCGATACAATTCTTCTAGACACAACAACTTAAGATTTATTATCTTACTTCGCCAAATGCGTACACAACCATCATCGCCGGTTGAAATCAACATAGTTGCTAACATATTCCAACATACACGCCAAACAGGACAATTATGATCAGTAAATTTAAGTGTTTGTATGTCCAATTTGGAATTACCAGAAGAATCGCTACAAATTAAAACAGAACAATAATAATTTTTTAGATTATATAAATTTATAAAAAACTTACGTGACACCACGTATATTTACAATATAAAGATCTTTACTAGCAACTGCCAACATATGAAAACTACGTCCAGCATTAGGTGCAAATGCAAGATCAGTCACTGGATCAGTTATATCATTTATGGTCTCCACCTTCATACACTTGCGTGCATTTTCACTGTAGGCGAATATAGATACTTTGCCAGTAGGTGTAGCTGTTTCATCACTACCAGCCTACAAAATATATTAAATAGAATATAAAATGCTTCAATTGTATTTATATTTATATATTATATTACCGCTAATAACTGTGATGATAACATATATGTTGAAGTATTCCATGACAGACAACTTAAGGGTAATTTATTTGCAATTTCATGTTGTACTGGCCATTGAGAAAGGTTCATTATATCTGGTGCTTCATATATACGTATTATACCATCAGCTGAAGCTGTCGCTAACATCAAGCCTAAATACTTTGGCGCAAATTCAACATCGGATACACTAGTACGTGAATCTACTAGTGTGGTACGACGTACCCATCTTCTTACAGGTGTCATTGTTGCAGCTACTTTCTCACCTATAACTTCTTCCCAAACGGATGCAGTACGATCAAACGAACACGTTGCTATGACTTGCCCATATTCAGGGTGCGCCCATGATACACGCCATATAGATCCAGAATGTGCTTTCCAACTGCTAGAAACAGTCCACTTCCCTTGTTCGTCTTCATCCCATATCTAAACGATTTGAAAACACCATTTTAATTTTTTAAACTTATTTTTAGTAGAATATTGCGATAAAATGTACTTACTTTAACAGTCTGATCGCTAGAACATGTGGCCAAGCGACGACCATAAAAATCAAACACTACATCATGAATAACGTCTTTGTGATCTGCTATAATTGGTTCTACTTCAAACATTTCCAAAACTTAATTTATATAAATATATATTATTAACAAAATACAAAAGTAATAAATAAGAAAAAGCGGCAAACCGTCTGTTTTTAGACGTACCAAAAATAATGTAAACAAGACCCTTGCCACTTGTTTAATATTTCAATATATTTGCACCAGGGTTGGTATCAAAATTGGATAAAAAATTTTTAACAAAAATCTTGCTTCCAAATAAAGCTCTAGTATGGAAAAAATATTATATATTAAAAAAATTTTGTGTATCTGTTTAAAAATATTTAAAGCATTTTTTTTATTTTTCTATCCCGTTTATATTTTATATAATATTGACCTCCTTCGCAGAGCAGATTATTTCCATAACTCATTACATATATTATATTAATATATAAAACTTAATATTATACATGTTATATGTAATCATAACAATGTAGTTTAGTATGAAAGTAAAACATTGCATTTATTATTATTATTTATTCTAAGTTTGGTATTAAAAAATTTGTGGCTATAAATTCAATTTTTTAATAGTTCAACGAACTGAACTTATTTTTCCCATTAACCTACAACTTTTTTATCAAGTGATATTAAAAAGGAAGAGGAATTAATATATATGAGCTCTCTAGCTATTGCACCCAATTTTATCAAACTCTTTAATGATTTGTTTTATAAGTAGAAAGCTTGTGTTACACAATTGCCAATTATCACAATATATATAACATGGCGATTACAGATTACACTGGCCTCAAATGACTGATTTACGTCAAAAATCACAAATGAGAAACGAATGACTGATTTCTGCATACAAAATCTCATATGTGCAACTAAGATCCACACTCGCATAATAGAACTCATTTTATATAAATGAGTTCTAATGAGTTTCAAATCAGTTCCAAATGCAAATTAATACATGGAACATATCCTAAATAAAAGTTTTTCATGATATTTTGACATTTAGAGAAAGCTGTTTCTAACATATTTACAAAAAAAGGTACACAAATATTTGGTGGTTGCACTTCCATGCAAACGATGCACCTGTTTTTGGAACTTCTACTTCCCAAAATATACTTAATCAAGTAAGTTTTCATTTTATATTATAACGTGTGAAATTATATTTTACCTCTATACAACATTTTTTTTGTCACATGCTAAAAATCAAATTATCAGGCAAGTTGACATATCAGCTGTTTGTAAGTAAATGTAAACATTTTCAAATGTATCACTTGAAATGAATCATTTGCGGCCCGTGTAAATGCCATATAATGAATTAAATAATTGCAATTATATTTGCAGTCGAGTCACAGTACTAGTATTACCTAAGTACAGGGTTGTACTTAAATGTTGTACTAAATACATAGCATTATATAGCATGTTCATTTTATACTCAAATAAAATGAATCTTTTTGGTATAAAACTACTTTATTTATATATGAAATGAATTAGTTTATGGTGCTAACACAGCTAAAAAGACTCATTAGAAAACAATTAAAATTATTATAGAAAATTAAAATGTTTACTTCAAAGTCTATTTTGAATAACCGGTTTTTTATTGAAATTTTTGTAATAACTCAATATCAGCTTTAACGTACTAATTCAATAAATAATTCAACCATTTATACATAAAATATCCTAAAACATGTATGCAAATAATTTAAGAAATAATTTAATGCTTCTTTTTAACATATATTATAATTATATATTATTTTTATTATCATGTATTTTTTTATCAAGTACATTTACTATTAATAAAAAAATATGAAGAGCTTTTATTGTTTTAGGAAAATTAATTATATATTTCTATTTATTACGATTTTATATGATAATATACAACATGGATTCACTTCAAAGTGTCATCCGTGAAGGACACTGTAAGATTATAAATTATTTTATCGTTTATCATATTTTGATAGGTGGCAGCCACAAAATCATCATATCAAATGTTTTTTGTGGCCTCTGCAAGAAAAATAAGGAAAGCTTGTGAATTTACAAGCTTTTCCGCATTAATTTAAAACATTACAAAATAAAATAATTTTTAAAATTAAAAAGAATTGGTGTCAGTGAACTTGTCGGTATTATACGAAACAATAACAAACGCGACGTTAACGTGCTCGTCAGAATTCCTCAAAATTCTTATATTGTATGTTCGGATAAAAACAGTTAGAATATTATCAATCAATTATCAAATTACAAAATGGAAACCGGTGAGTGCAGTGTTTGGGTTGTAAAATGAATCAACGACGCTTAATAGTTGTTAAAATGATTAAAGCGTATTGTATGCTTAGTAATAAATTAATAATAAATTGATTAAACAAATACCAATTAAAAAAATACGTTTCATATGCTGCCTATAATTAGTATAAAAATGATTTGCTCATTTCTCTCTCACTGTATCTCGCGCTCTCGTACTCATTTATGCTTTCTGGCATGTAAAATAAATGACTTAACACAGTACTAAAAGAAAGCAGTATATTGTGACCTTGGCTTTCTATTGGTGTTTAGCGTCGCGCCACAGTAATGTTTTTTTGAAAAAAAAAAAAAACAAAAAAAAAAAAACAAAAAAAAAGAAAATCAAATCAAAATGTGTATTCTCTCGCACGTTGATGCATTTGTTATCATTTTTGTTTATGCCTACCACCCTACACCATTGTTCGAATGTCTGTTAAAACGTTTGCATTGTTGTTGATTTGTTCTCGTAGGTTTCCTTAGTCATAACGGCATGATTAATTGTACAAATTTAAACTTTCTTTCAAACGTTTTATGTTTTTAAATAAAACAATATTTTAGCGATAGCTTCAATAAAAAACACTAACTCAATATATATGTTATTTGTTAAAATTTGTACAAATCACTTAATGCCTGTCGTTGACATTTCTTATGTTTTCAGAGCTATTTAACGAAAATGTCAATATTCTGCAAGCCATGTGTATTGCAAACAGCTGATTTTTTATGAGAAATAAAATATTATTTTCTTTACAACGATTTCTAATCTATGAATAATACACTACGAGCATCTTTGAGCGCATCTCTATATTCGAGAAGCTTAAAATTTTTATTAGATAAACCCCTGAAAGTAAAGTTATCCAGACAGAACTCAACTTACGCTCCCCTTCAAAGCAAGAATTTTGGCAAGCATCAGAAACACTTTGTGGTTGCCAACGTACGAGAAAAATATACAAAAAATCAAAAGAACTTGTTGAATACAAGTCTCATTGCAAAAATGGGTATGTATCTTTGATATATAAAATAGGTTTAAATATAAAATATGTTACATATAATAAATTTTGGTAAAATTTTCGTATAAATTTATCGTTTGTGTAAACGGTTTCTCATACAAGATTTACACTTATAGTAAGAGTACTCATCTAAGCACATAAATTTATCAAATATGTATTTTTATACGTAAATATACAGTGTTCTATGAACACACTTTGTGAAATGTTTGTGTAAGTTTATCAAGCAGCTGTATCACTGTCAATAAATTATGACAGCACAGAATGCAGTGCTCAGCAGCGCAATTTTTTCAACGAAACGTTTATCCAATAACGTTGCAATATTAAAAATGTACGTAAATTTTTTCGATTAACTGTGTCACTATTAATAAATCATAAAATTAAATAACAAAATTTAGCAAAAAAGGCGAACTATAAAGTATTTACAAAAAACAGGAAACGATTCTTCAATCAGCTGTTGTTAGAGATAAGAGATAAATTTATGCAATAAATTTATGCGGTAAAATTTTTATATAAATTTATTAAGTTTGTATAAACAATTTTTCATAAAAAAATTTGATACTACATTTACCAAGTAAATAAATTTATACGTTTATAAGGTTTATAAAGTATTTATTCTGTTTAGTTTAGATGAGTGCCCTTAGTATATTTAAGATTAATTCATTAAAAAGTTATTTATCCGTATGTTCATTCACTTATAATAATAAATTTAATTAATAATTTTATAAAAAAAAAGGTTGTTTCGAACAGTAATGAATTACAACAAAAATTCATTTTATATAATATTAATTCATTTATGTTTTTAAATAGCTGATAGTTTCGATTTATAGTAATAAAATACATAATCTAATTCAATCTATACACAAACTTATAGCCTCTCTAAGCAAACAGGTTTAACAACAAATTTTATTCTAGAAGCATTATTCTAGAAATTTAAGCAGATTTATTTAGCCAATTAAATTAAACGATTTTTCAAAGTTTATACATGTTTTAGTTTATGTTTTTTTATTTTAATTAAATTTAACAGCACTGTTATGACATGTCCGATTGGGAAATCTAGATGTTTTACTTTTTGCACTAATTTTATGAGTAAACAGATTTTTTATAGGGTAATATCAATATTTTACCGCTTCAAAAATAAAAATGAAGCTTTAACAGAAAATGATATACTTATTTAAATTTATATGGAAATGATTTATATTAAAGTATTGACGTACTATATAATATAATATTGATGTAATAATATTATTTTAATAATGTCAAACAAATATTATATTTTTATATATTATTTTAATCACATCATGTCATATCATATCAGTTGCACATAAGTCGTGTAAACGGAATATTAAGAAAGAATAGTTTTAGTATAGTAGTTTAACTTAAAAACATATTTAGTCAGTCTCTGTTTAGAAATACTATAATTCATTCAATATATAAAGCAATTAAAGAGATAATCGTGTTCAACACTCAATCCAAAATTTTAGTATAAAAATTGTTATGAATCTAATGTTATGATTCGACAGCAAGAACAGTTCTATTACATTTATCACAATAATTATTGCTATTCATTACAGTGAATAGCTTTTATTATGATACAAGCTCCAATTACAGAACATGACACTAAACACTTTCTTTAAAATATGATTGATAAATCACTATATCAAACGTGGTTACCGTAATGGAATGTTTCGTAGCAGCGTTCTCTTAATTGAAGATAATCGAAATATAATTATACTGTTTTTATACTGTTATTACCTTGCAAAATGCACTAAATAAGGTAGTGTAAACCTGCTGTTAGAAATATCACAATAATGTCTTTGATATTATTATATTATATTATATGGTTTATGGTCTCTTTCACTGCATTGCAAACATTATAAAGAACTTGATGCACTTTTTTGACTTACCTTTGTTTTTGCTGAGAATATAGAGTTTTATAACAAGTACCTAAGGTCCATTATCAATGTAACCCCTAGTGACGCAAATGCCTTTGAGATCTGATTTATTATAAAAACCATCAATAAATAATGCATACACTAGCAATACTGTTGGGATAGATAAGTAAATACAGTAATGAATATAAGTCACAAGATTTAGTTACTTTGTAATCTCTTTACATATTTAGTAGATTTTTAGATCCGATATTTAATTAAAATAAAATGTTATGTTGTTCTAAAATATGATATATGTATTAATTAGGTTTTTCATTGTTTTTGTGGGAAAAATTTTAAACTAATATTTATTTGTTACTTTCATTCTAAAGTAGTAACAATATATTTTATATATTTAATAAATGGATCAAATTCTTAAAAATATTCAAGCCTATAACATCTAGGATTTAAGTATAAATTTGGCGTGCTTTTGCATTGTTTCAAAGTTTTCATTTATAGTTAGTTCTTCGACATCCATTTAGTTGGTTTTCTTAGCCAGAATATAAAATTGACAGATACTGCAATGATCAGGAACTCATAAATGCTTTATCATACAGCTTCTATCCCTCCGAACAAATCAATAACTATGTTCCAACAAAATTGTTTGTGATTTCTGGAATATCTATGTTATTGTGGATTGATATATGATCATTTGTTAGATTAGTCCATTCTGCTGCTTCATTGAGCCTCAATGCCGCATTTGTGAGCAGTTCTGTTGCCATAATGTGTATAGGTGGAATGCTTGAGTATTCACAAGTCTTCATCTTTATTTTATAATATTTAAATACCAAGTGTAAATTTTTAATTAGAATATCGGATTATATTAAATTGATTAACTTATTAAATTATTCTAATATAATACAAGAAACTGTACGACTACTCTACAGGGTCATATCTAATTTAAACTTAACCTTTGGTGGAAGTATATGCGCTCCATAACAACTTTGCGAGGTACAATTGAGTGTTTTACTATTTTGATTAAAAATTTTCCTTTGTCGACCTTTATTTGCGTTGATCTAGAACATGGCTGTCCAGATCAGATGTGATCGCGGGCCAATACAAATCACTGTAGAGATTGGAGAGACGCAGAAACAAATACATACGTTCCAAGTTGTTCTGGAGAAAAATGAAATCACGATTATAATGTTAAATTTAGTTCTATTAATTTATGAATTTAAACTCATTTATTTGGTATACAATAAAAATCAAATAATGTAATTTTACCAAAATTCACGCAAAAACATTAGTCGTGGGCCGCATGTGACCCGTGGGCAGCGCTTCCGATAGCCCTGATCTAGAATATATAGTGGTTAACCATCCTTATTTCTACTATACTTATCTTTCTAATAAAGCTTTCTTTTAAAAAGCTAGCTTAACTGAACAAGTAAAAAGTGCATAGCTTATTCGATTAAATATTTTTTAAATAAAATAAATTTGATTTGTATTATAAAATAATATTTCAAATTTTAAATCCACATCTCTTTTTTGTAATATTATTGAGCTTATTCTTTCCCACAAATTTAGAAATTATTTGCCACCTTCATAAATAAAATTATTTGTATAATTAAAAAAAAAATTAATTACAAAAACTGTTTATATACAAAGTAGCGCTAGGAATCGTCTAGCCTGATAAGAATATCTTCCGATTTTCAATACATATATTAAAAATTTAAAATAATGATATAAATAATTTCAATTAAACTAAATAATCTCTTATTTTTTTTTTTCTAAATAAACAATTTTTTCTGAAAGTTTTGTAGTCTGTTGATTGCCATATTGTTAAAAATTTTATAATATAACAATGAGTATCAAAAATTCCAATTTGATCTGAAAAATGTTAAATCGTTGACCCGAAACATAAATATATATATACATATATGAATATTATGATGATATGATTATATGTTAAGGTAATGATGATTCTTAAAAGCTTATCAATTTATAACATTTTCACATTTAAATCAGAAAAGCAATCATGACTTAGGGATACTCGTATACTATATTAATAAATTTTATTATAAGAGTAATTGTACTATATTC